TCCCCACCTACACTCACCCTTACTGGCTCCATCCCCGCCTCTTCGACCTGTCTGTTTCCTCTCCACCTATCCTCTCCTCTATCCATCTTCTATCTGCCTCCCCCTCTCTCCCTATTTATTTCAGAACCCCCTTCCCCTTCCCCTTCCCCTTCCCCTTGCCTATTTCTGGTGAAGGGTCTAGGCCCGAAACGTCAGCCTTTCTGCTGCTATGATGCTGCTTGGCCTGCTGTGTTCATCCAGCTCTGCACCTTGTTGTCTCGGATTCTCCAGCATCTGCAGTTCCTACTATCTGTAGATTTTATTTCTCTCCGTAAAGCACGTGGCACTGAGGGACACTGGGCGCATGCGGGAAAACTGGTTCCGAATGCCAAGCCAAAAAAAACGCAGGTGGCCAACAAGGGAAGGATTAAGAAGGTACACAAACACCTCAGAGAGGTTCAGAGTCGACCAAGAGATTGGCATATCTCAGGAGATGACCATGCGTCCGAGATTGGACACACACACGTGGTATGAGGAAGTCAGAAGCTTTTATGACCATCAGTATCAGCTAAAGGCAGGACCACACACACACACACACACAGATATTGAGACAGGACCCAGTACCACATATGACCACGACACATCCTGAGAGACATGGAGCTGGGTAAGTGGTGGTCCATTGTACAGGCTGTGAGAGATTGTCTCGTGGTATAATGGGAGTGCATTGCAGTGGGGGGAGCAGTGGTGATCACCAGTTCGGTGCATTGATGGAATCACACATTGACGCCAATACACAGATTCATCCCAGCTTCCCAAAATCCTCTACCTGGTAGATACCAACAGTCGAACGGTGACAGGGTACACACAGCTGTCACAGGGTTCAAACACACGATGGAATCTATCAATGGTCTCCAAGGTGGAGAGGGGGAGCTTTGGAGTCAGATCGGAGACAGGTACTGGGGCGATTACATACAAAAAACTCAACCTCGCCACAAAAGACCAGGTCGTATCTTGATCTACACAGTGACGCTTTGGATTAGAAAGTTCAGAATGTGCTTGAGGACTTGGGAACATAGGAACAGGAGTAGGCCTAGTTTGAGAACCCCCAACCAATGGAAATATTTTATCTATCCTGCCTTTTCCTGAAGACTCTGATCAAATCACCCTTCAACCTTTGAATTTCTATAGAAAACTGGCCTAATCTGTCCTCCTAATTTAACCGCTGAAGTCCAGATATCATTCTAGGAGACCTACATAATACTTCCTCCAGGGCTAATATGTCCTTCCTAAGGTGTAGGCCCAGACCAGGTTAGGTCAGCAGTTTCCTTCCCTAAAGGGACATTAGTGAACCAGATGGATTTTTCCAACAATTGGCAATGGATTCACAGTCATCATTAGACTCATAATTCCAGATATTTATTGAATTCAAATTCCACCATCTGCCGTGGCAGGATTCGAAGCCAGGTCCCCAGAACGTTATCTGGGTCTCTGGATTAACAGTCTAGCGATAATACCACTAGGCAGGTGTTATTTCCCTAGGGTGGGGGGATTTCAAGACTAGGGGGCACATTTTTAAGGTGAGAGGAGAAAGATTTTAAAAAGACATGAGGGGCAACTTTTTTACACAGAGGGCGGTTCGTGTGTGGAATGAACTTCCAGAGGAAGTGGTGGATGCGGGTACAGTTATAATGTTCAAAACACATTTGGATAAGTACATAAGAAATGCTTGGAGGGGTATGGGCCGAGTGAAGGCAGGTGGGGCTAGTTCAGTTCGGGTTTATGGCTGGACCGAAGGGTCTGTTTCCATGCTGTGTGACTCTATGCCTCTGAGTGTCACCACTCCCCAACACCCCCTCCCCCTCCCCCTCCCCCCGCCCCCAACAAACATGAACAAACAAAATTGGACTATCCCAACAGTTGCAGAAGAGGTGGGGGGGGGGAGTGGGTGTGGGGAAATGGGTGGTACCAATCTAGAACCCCGTGAAAACTGGAGGGGCTGCAAAATCGGTGGGTCCTGAGTGTACGGCTCCTTGGAGCAGTATGCTCTGGGACAGACGCATGCTGTGTTCAGTTTTGGCCCCGCATGGAGAGAATCAGTCACTTCAATCCCCGCTGCCTCACCCTTCAATACCACCACCCCCCCATCCCCCACACCGCAACCCCCCTCTCCCATCCCAGTGGTCTGGTCCCATTGTATCAGTTTGGAATTTGCTGCCAGTTTCTGGGGGGCACCGCTGCCATTCTGCCCGATGACCCACATGGCTCAGGCACAAAAGGAGGAAGCTGGTCCTCCCTCTACCCCCTCGACGTCCTCGTCACAAACCAGCTGCTCCATGGCCAACAGAACCAGTCTGGGCAGCGGCCTGAAGGTCATCTTCGAGCACTGGTAATTATCACAGTCCGTATTCTTCGCCTCTGACCTGTTTCCTTTTTAAGCTGCTGCTGTTCATGTGGCTGGCCCAGTTGAGTTTTTGGTCAGTGGTAACCCCTAGGATGTTGATAGTTGGTGGGAGGATGGATTCACCAAAGATCCTCAGACAGCACCTTCCAAACCCCACGACCCACTTCCATCCAGAAGGACAAGGGGCGGCAGATACATGGGAACACCACCTCCTGCAAGTTGCTGTCCGAGCCACTCCCCATCCTGACTTGGAAACATATCGGCCGTTCCTTCAGTGTAGCTGGGTCAGAATCCCTGGAATTCCCTCCCTAAGGGGACATTGTGGGTCAACCCACAGCCAATGGACTGCAGCGGTTCAAGAAGGCAGCTCCCCAGCACCTTCTCAAGGGGGGCAACTAGGGACGGGGACAATAAATGCTTGACCCAGCCAGCGACACCCATATCTCACAAGTGATTTTTTTTTAGAAACAAAATTCAACTATGACAATGGGCAGTGGTTAGTAGTCATAGAGTTATTCAGCATGGAAACATATCTTTGGTCCAACTCATCAGCGCTGACCAGACATCCCAATCTGACCTAATTCCATTTGCCAGCATTTGGCCCATATCCCTCTAAACCCTTCCTATTCATGTACCCATCCAGATGCCTTTTAAATGCTGTAATTGTACCAGCCTCCACCACTTCTTCTGGCTGCTCATTCCATACACTCACCACACTCTGTGTGAAAAAGTTAACGCTCAGGTCCCTTTTAAACCTTTCCCCCTCACATTAAACCTATACCCTTTAGTCTTGGACTTCCCCGCCCTAGGAAAAAGACCTTGGCTATTCACCCTCACGCCCCTCATGATTTTATAACCCTCTATGAGGTCACCCCCTCAGCCTCCAACACTCCAGGGAAAACAGCCCCAGGCTATTCAGCCTCTCCCTATAGCTCAAACCCTCCAATCCTGGCAACATCCTTGTAAATCTTTTCTGCACACTTTCAAATTTAACAATATCCTTCCTATAGCAGGGAGACCAGAATTGCACACCGTATTCCAAAAGTGGCCCTAACCAATGTCCTGTACAGCTGCAACATGACCCTCCCAACTCCTACACTCAATGCACTGATCATTGAAGGCAAGCGTACCCAATGCCTTCTTCACTATCCTGTCTACCTGCGATTCCACGATCTCTCCTGACTGGAGATGGACATTGTGTGGCGCGAGTGTTATTTGCCACTTGTCAAACCAAGTTCAAATCGGTTTCTTTTCTGAAAGTGATACTCATGGAACAAGACGAACCGAGAGGACAGGAGGAGGTCATTCGGCACGTCCTGCTGCCCTTCCACTGACAAGTCTATCACGGCGAAGGCTCTCAGAGAGGCGTAAATGTTAATGGTACCTCTCTCTCTGTCTCTCCCAGCACCAGCTGACTGGTGTATCACCGCACTGCGAAGGCTCTCGGAGAGGCGTTGCGGAAGGAATTCGGGGGCCTCGAGGTGCAGCTGAACCCAGACAAGCCTCGACGCAACAGCTTTGAAGTCACCCTGGTAACACCGGAGGGCAAGGGTGAGAGCTGGCGCATGGCATGTAGTACTGGCGGGTGGGGGGAGCGGTTGTGGGATGGATCCTGCCTCCCTCCCCTCACACTCACAGGCAGCACCTTCCAGACCCTAACGCCTCCATTGACCCTGCCTCCCCCCTCCCACACTCTCAGGCAGCACCTTCCAGACCCTAACCCCTTGACTGACCCTGCCTCCCTTCCCTCACACTCTCAGGCAGCACCTTCCAGACCCTAACCCCTCAATAGACCCTCGCCCCCCCTCCCACATTCTCAGGCAGCACCTTCCAGACCCTAACCCCTTGCTGAGTGAAAAGGGTTTCTCCTCGTGTCTGTGTCGCTCCCTTTCACCAATCCCCTTCAATCTGTGTCCCTCTGGTTCTCCATCTTCCCACCAATGGGAACAGATTCTCCCTCTCAACTCTGTCCAGCCCTCTCGTGATGTGGAACCCCCTCGATCAAATCTCCTCTCGAGCTTCTCTTCCCCTGAGGAAACCCAGGCCCAGCTTCTCCCAGTCTGTCCCCGTCACCGAGGGCCAACATCCCTGGGGCTATCCTCATCGATTTTAACAGCAGACCATGCGGTAATGGAGCCCAAATGCGTAAAACCCTTAAAAGCTTTGATAGGATCGACGCTGAGATGCTCTCATCTCCAGCGAGACGCGCAAAACTGGTGGGATCTCAGTTTCAGGAAACAGAGTCAGCCATTTTGGATTAAGACAAGGACCAATGTCTTTATTTGGAGGGCTGTCAATTGTTGGATTTTCTCTCTCTCTCTGGCTCTCGCACCCACCCCACCTCATGCACAGAGAGCTTGGAATGTTCAGTTATCGAGTACTTACAAGACTGAGATCGTGAAATTGTTCAACATGCAGGGGATTGAGGGATATGAGGAGTGGATGGCGGGGTTGGAGTTGAGGTCGAAGGTCAGTTGTGATCACACAGAAGGGCAGGGCAATTAAAACAGGGTGAATATCCTCGACCTGCTCCGGGTTTCTGTATCGTTGAAGCGAGGACGTTTGAACTGGGGTGGATTCAATCTAACGTCTCACTGCTTTCTTCTGGTCATCCCTACAGAGGTGGTGCTATGGAGCGGAATTAAGAAAGGCCCACCGCGTCGACTGAAGTTTCCAGAAACACGAGTAATGTTGGAAATCATGAGGAAATCCGTGCAGTAACTTGGGAGAAAGGTGCCCGCTGTGGGGTGAGTGGACGAGCAGACTGTCCCGTGCACCAGGTCAAATCCAAATATGTTATATTCTGTGTCGGACGGTCAGTGCTGAGGGAGCACCGCACTGTCGTAGGGTCAGTGCTGAGGGAGCACCACACTGTCGGAGGGTCAGTGCTGAGGGAGTGGGCACTGTCGGAGGGTCAGTGCTGAGGGAGCGCCGCACTGTCGGAGGG